CATACGTTAAAACCTATATATGTTGATTATAATTGCATAATTGCTAGATTCTAAGTTGAAAACAATGCAAGTGAAATCATTTTATGATCATCATATTTGTCTTAAGCATTTTCAAAACAAACATGTCACATATCTAGCTATTGCAAGGAAACATTCGGATGTGTTTAGGAAGAATCCTAGAATAAAATGGAGTAATGTTGTTGATATGGTGTGGAAAAGATATCAGATTCCATGCTCAAGGAATAAAGCTTTTAGGGTTAAAAGAAGAATAGCGCAAATAATTCAAGGAACATTAAAAAAATCAACTTTTAAGACAATTTATTGTGATAAAGTGTGATCCAATCTAGGCAGTACACTGAACTTGAAGGTTAATAAGATTGGCAATACTGGGGCACTCATATTTGAAATAATGTATGTTTTCATGCTTAGGCTGTAGTAGCAAACAATGCAACTACATAATCGTGCAATTGATTTTAAAACAAGTAATTAGTGATTTGGGAACTACAAGTGAGCATGGATGGACATTTATCTTATATCAACAAAAGGAAAGGTTAGTATTAGATTTTCTTTTTTTAGTTTAGTCATATTAATTTAACTTTTATTTTGCATTTGTCGGGTTTATTACAAGCTCTCCACGATATAATGCCTATGCTGAGGTAAGATTCTGTGGATGACATTTATATGGGAATGTTAAAGGAAATATCCAAGAAAAATATTGAAAGAATTTCTATGGAATGGATGTAGAGCAACAAGGTTGGCCTGAAAATATTGGTTGGAGAAGATGGAAAAATAGAACAAGTAAGCATATAATCATATGATGGCGAAACCATTGATCATTGGGCTAGGCATGAGTTTTTGCCCCTGTCCAAATGTGATTCACTCTTAAACAAGTGCGAAGCTTTTAATTCATCCATTTGCAGCATAGAGATAAGCCAATTATTCACAAGTTAGAGGAGATCAGAAGGTACATGATGGGCAAACTTAACACTAGAAGGGATAAAATGCTTAAGTATAAAAGGGAAGTTTGTCTAAGAATAAAAAAGAAGTTGGATAAGACTAAGTTGCAAGTGGGAGATTTGAGCATAACTGGATAAGGCAATGATGAGTTTGACGTACACGGAGGTCCTGACAAACAATAGAAGGTGTTGTTGAAAGAAAATGCATATGCTTGTTTTAATTAGGATCTCACAGGTATTCTTTGTGTACATGCAGCTATAGCCATTTGTTTTAATTGACACTACCTAGAAGACTGTCAATGGTTAGTACAATAGAGAGGCATTCTTGAGGGATTATACTAATATGCTTTAGCCAACTGACGGTCCTAACAAGTGAGAATTAGTATGTGAGGAAGACATTCTTCCGCTTATGTGTATAAGACCTACTAGTAGACCAAAGAAGAGGGATAAAGATGAGCTTAACTCCAAACCCCCTGCGCGACCAATCAAGATGTCTAGAGCAAGAAGGGTCGTGCATTGTAGTATACGTAAGTTAGCAGAACATAACTCCAGCAAGTGTCCTAATAAAAGAGAAGCAGAACAAATGAATAACTCCAAAGAAAAGGTAATTATATTTTTGTACACGAATAGTGAGTGATCTATGTGTAAGTATTATTAACTAACATGCTTCTATTTTATACATAAATAAGAAAAGAGGAAACTTAAGAAGAAAACATACACTAGGACAATTAGCGGTGAACTACAAACTGGATATTAATAAGTCTATGCTCCTACACAATCAAGCCAAATCGATTCCCTAAATGAAGTAAATGTAACCAAAGAAAGATTTTGTTATCTATTCATGAAGGTTTCATAATTAGTATATGAGATTACTAATTCATTTTGTTTATATTAACACAAGTCATGAGGAGGGTAAGTGTAGGAAGTCCACCAAATAAGAGAAACAAAAATTTTCAATTTTATGGGTTCGAACCTCCCTAAATATGCTCATCCACCATAAGCTTTTTCTATGCAGCCTCCATCGAGGTCCGCGTCTTTTGTCTTAGGTCTGGCTAGAAACAATAAGCCATCACCCTTATCTTCTCTGCAAAACAACAAAGCACACTCCTTTTCTGTAGTAGCTAGCAAAGGAGTACCAACATTTTTAATAATTTGCAGAAAAAGGGTTCAATGCATGGTAAATGGTAAGAAGATGAGAGTTGCAGAGAATGATGGAAGGGTGAAACATATAAAAAATGATAAACCACCTTAAAGGTAGGTCTAGATCTAGCTTTAATTTGGTGGCTGTTTTAAAATTATTATTGTTGTATTTTGGTTGCTTGGTGTTGTGCTGAATAGGGACAATAGCTTATGTTTTTTAGGAGTTTGTTATGTTTGTGTAGTTCATTTTGGATGTCATTTGGATGATACTCAAATGATATTTGAATGAAACTCTAAAACACTTTTGCCAAAATTTGAATTATTTTGGATTATATTTTGTTGTAGCATATCAATTAATTTATGGGTCAATTTTAAAAACTTTGATTTGGATTTTTTAGATTTTTAGGCTCAGCTATGAGCAATTGGAATAGGAAAGGAGAAAAGAAATGAAAGCCTCTGATGGGAGTGGGTCTCACGTTTTAAGGAGTGTGAGAGTTATTTTTTATTTATCTTTTTTCCTTATATTTCGTAGGGATTTTAAAGGGATTTTAAAGAGGAGGTCCTCAGATTATGCGGCATGACATCTCTATTTAGTAATGGAAAGTGGTAACTAGGTACTAAAGTTGAGAGTTCATGGGATAAAGTGAGACTAAAAATAGTTCAAGAGGTAAGAACAAATAATTTTAATGGTTTAGGGAGCAAGTAGGATCTGGAGTTTTTTAAGTTATTTACAATTGAAGGAAGAATATTTCGTTACTACTTTCACTTTAAGAGAGTATTCATTTAATAAACTAAATAACCTATACAATTTGAGAAGGGAAATACATATAAAAAAGACAATAACAAAGAGGTACATCAAAAGAAAATTTTGAAGATGCATGTACAACCTATCATTTGAAGAACAAAATCTAGTATTGTATAGGTCAAAAGAAAATAAAAGTAGGAAGATTTATAGGAGGATGTCCTTTTCTTTCCTTTATCAATAATTGTCATAGACAAGCATCCTATTTTGTCTGATCTGGTGAACTAAACAGTCAAATAGTTTAAGTCATCAAACTAACAAACCTATTGTGTGTTTAAAAGGGACTAGCCTCATTAAAATACATGATGTTGTTCTCTCCATGTGAATGTTAAGAATGCATTGCATCTAGAATTTATTTTCTTTGTCCGTTTCCTCATTATATTTCTTGTTCTTCACCTCTATCTCTTTTCTTTATCCTTCTGCTTTGTCGGAATATATATTATATAACAAGTTATTTTGTATCTCTTTGCCTATAAAAACAGATATAACAAACTCAAATGCCAATACCTCCTGATCCCTCAGTCTATACCCCAAACTGATGCCCCAGGCATAGTGTCTATGTTTCTTCCTTTTTACCATATTAATTCCATAATTTCAGTTCATTAAGAAAAGAGAGCTTATACTTTAAAATAAGCTATCAAGTTTCCTATCAAGGTGTTGGAGATTTATGTAGCCACTCGCCAGCTTCTTAGTTAATCCACATTAATCATATTTGACCAACAAGGAAAGTTGCCAAAGTAGAGCAAAATCTCTCACTATCAGTTGGGACGAGTCTTGCACTATCAATATATGCTTTGCCAACAACTAAGATGACCTTCCTTCATATTCAACCTTGATTAAGAGAATCAAGAATAGGCTTCCCACCCTCTCCTAATATCCTTCAACAACTTTGACCGAGATTATCGATTGCGATGGCTTGGTCATGTGCAACAGAGACCACTGATGCACCCTCTAGGAGAAGTGATAAGATTAGAGGTAATAGGCAAAGAGGGCTAGAGGTAGACCTAAAAGAACTTGGTTTAAAACAATTAAGAAAGATAAGTTATAGTTAAGTTAAAGGAGGAGATGAGTCAAAGAAATGAATGAAAGAATAGAATTCATGTAGACAAACCCAAAAATTTAGGATATAGGCTTTGTTGTTGTTGTTGTTGTTGTTGTTGTTGTTTCAGGATGTGAATCAAATCTCAGTATATATCATGCTTCAAGTTTAAGCTATTTATTTAGATCACAATATGGCCTTTGAAACATTATGGATTAAATCTTATGGGTCAACTGGCCAAGTATCTCAAAGTCCCACCAAGAGGTGAGCTTCAGTTTGTTCTTAGATTGATTTACCACTTTTTGACAATAACTAACTAAGGGGAAATTTATTTAGGTCTAGTTACCTTTCCCGAATTAATTACAAATCTTAAGGGTAAACTACTTTGATGCGTAAAATCCAATGAGTTTGCTCAATCTTGATTGAGCAGGTTTGCACAAACCATCGCAGAAGCCGATAAGAAATTATATGCTTGTAGTGCAGATTACTTATTATTTTAGTGAGTGGCTTCGCAACAAGATGAAAAGGTCGTCTGCAGGTTCAAAACATATAATGTACGACAATGTGATCGACCATTTGTGTGATGAGAAAACCAAGTGTAAACTTGATAGAATGCTGATGGACCAAGTTAAATGGTTCCATAAGCCGCCTATAGAGATAGACCACTACAAATTTAAGCTAAGACACAAGGTTCACAACGAACATCCTAAAATTCTAAATTCTAAACAAGGGGTTATTTCTCTAGTCATAAGACGAGTCCCAATACATATAACATTCAAGGACATGTCATGTAAACCAATTCCCTTTGTAAATTAAACAAATATAGAAGCGGTATAGGTCACAAAATTGGCAATTTAAGCCAGGAAAGCACCTTGTTAAAAATTATAACTTTCTCATCTATGACATGGTTATAAATAGTGTTCTTAGGAATTACACTGTATATAGCAGCATCACATTACAAATCAAGTCTGAACATCTGTTCAGCATTCAATCAAACACCTTACGCTCATTCCACAACCAAGCACGAAACAAACAAAGCATCTCATAATTGAAAGCCAGTTACCTTCAGAAACTTCCCCAAGTACGGCAGCGCCGTTGAGAATGCAGCCAAGCAAGTACCAAGAGCCTCCGATCTCTGCACCAAAGCATACACACAAACAATCAAATCTCAAACATACCAAACTAAAATCTGAAGTATTACAGTACCAGCTGAGCTGGACTCGGAGAAGACGGAGACAGAAAATGGTTGGCGATAATGAGGGAACCGAACGCTGCGCCGATGAATCTTGGGAGGTACGACTCGTCGAGACCTGGGATCCCTGCAAAACAACCAAAAAGCCTATAAAAAACCCCTAAAAACCCATCTTTTTCTATAATTGTGAAGAAGATGAAGTGAGCTACCTAAAGTGAAGCGGAGGACTGAGAGGTCGAGCAGCTGCTGCTCAGAGTTTGGGTCTCGAGATGCTGCAGTGACGATGACTGAAGAGCGACGAGAGCCATGAATCTTGGCTCTGTTGAGAAATTTTAATGGGGATTTACAAGGGCGCATGCTGGTTGGTATGAGGGATTCCATTGCCATCATCTCTTTCCTTTCGAATTTTGAGTTAAAAAAGGGCTAATTAGCGGAAGTTTCCACGGTTATAATTCGTAAACGTTAATATGTTGGGGTTTGAAAAACAAGATTACGCCTAGTTTAATTAAAAGGTTAATTTCACATAACCTCCCTGAACTATATGGGGTGTTGCACATAACCCCCGAACTTTGTTTACCTCACATAACCCCCTTGAACTTTAGGGTGTCTCACCAACCCCCGACCCGAGCGCCCTCCCGCGCCTCACGCCCGCTCAGCATTGAACTTTATCACCGTACTCTCTATATGTAATTTGCAAATAACAAGAATTTTACTAAGACTAAAAAAATTCAAAATTTAGGCGAGGAGTATATTGTCTGTAAATGACATATGGCAAAGTTTACAATCTTTTCTCTTAGTAAGTTTAGTTTTTTCCAAATTACATGTAGGGGGTTCAGTGAAAAAGTTCAAAGTTCATGAGAGTTCTGTGAGACAGCTCGAAGTTCAAGGAGTTATGCGCAACAACCTCCCATGTTCAGAGAGGTTAAGTGAAAATTAACCCTTTATTTAACCCCCAACAGTATGATGAGTTTGAATAAGTTTCTAGGATGGAAGGAAGAGGGGTAGGAAGGTTATAATGTAAACTTCCAAAAATGTGTGTTTGTTTACAATTTTAATTAGTAAGGGGAAAGGAGGGAGGGTTAAAATGGACAATTTTTTTTACTTTTTAAACTCTCCTAAAGTGGACAACTTGTGAGGGGGAGGGATTGAAACTTAAGTGAAACTTTTCCAATTTTTCGTTGTTGCTCTTATAAAAAACAAAAAATTTAGATGTGTATTAATTCTCAGATAAATATTGGAAAGTCCTCCTCAACTTTGGACAATTATTGGATAACCCCCTTGATAAAAAAATTCCGCTTAAGTTTAGGGGTAATCAGAAATTCCCCTTTAATTTTGAGATAATGGGTTCTCTAAAAAGATCTCAAAGTTAGAGCGTGTTGATGATAGTTATCAAACATGAGGTTTGCGGGTGGATTATGGTGGTGTTTGGGTCCTCTAGCTCCTTCAAATGACTGGCTCTGTGACCCGTTGTTCTTCCGTGCACATGAAGAACTCGTGAGAGGCCTGAGTTGGGTTCTTCGGTGGTTCCTCCGACGATCAAGTCAGTGTTTGAGCTTGAGTGGAGAAATATAAGATAAGGGATGAAGTTAATCCAAAGTTTCAGAGTTACATGGATCAGCAGAAGTTACCTCATACATTACAACTTCCTTTTATAGTAGATCGAAAGGGCAAAAAGGTAACTTGGGCAGAGTCCATGTAAGCAGCTGACTCGGCAGGTGTCTTACAGGTGTCGGCTGCATATGAGGATGAGTCATCCAAGTATTTAGTGCAAAGATGATAGCAGCTGCTTGGTGCTGACTAGGTCTGATGAGTCATAAAGACTATGGGGGTTAGAGCAATGATGACTTTGTCAGAGTAGTTAATGTAAGGGTAGTTAGTTGTCTGTAGGGGGTTTGAGGACACAATACCTTTTTAGTCAGTTATGTGAGTTGTCAGCTAAAATAGTAGGTCGATTGTGGAGTCTAGTGGGCTCGGCCTGAAGAATAGGTTGACAAGTATCGTCTTTCTTGTCGACCAATGGACTCGGTCACTAGAACAACTCGAGTTGTTGGTTGCTAGAGTAATCTGCTTAAGAGTGGAGTGGGACATGTGTCAGCTTCCCAGCTGTTGATTAATACTTGGTTAACTTGCAGCCTATAACAGTGCCCCCTTCCTCTCGAACTCAGTCGGGTGAGTATGGGTGGAAGTTCAAACAGTTGCTGTTTTGTGAGTTTTGAGGTGCATTCATGAATAAAGTGATGGGTTGCTGTTGAAGTGACCTTTTGATGTCATTAGATATGATGCGTCGTCATCGCTTTGATTTACGAGATGGGTGGAATATTGATCAACAGGAAGTGCTTTGTTTCCCGTACAAGTGGTTTGAGTTTCGAGGTTTATCTCAGCCATCTGTTCCTAATCGAGTTGGTCATTCCGATCTTGACACGTGTCTCTGTTCGAGCCTATATGTAGCCCATTTCTGAGAAGAGTTTAATTTTCAAAACTATTTGCCACCTGGTCTCAAAAAACCCTAGCTCTATGTGTCGAACAATTTCCGACAAAAACTTCGACGAACTGCGATGGCTTTCCCTGCCTTCACTTCTAATTGCTACGAGATGAGGATCAACCTCCTCCTCATATTCCATTTGATAGTCTGTGCAACAGATCTTTAAGCTTATTATGATCACTTCGACCTCCCTAAGGCCTTCACTTTATTGGCGCCAGAGAGGTCAAAGGCTATATATCACCATGGCAGTGATAGGGCTCTGTTTTACTTGAAACATTTGGAGTATGAACTCTGTCTACCGATGCGCCCTTTCATCCGTTTGGTTTGTGAAACTTTGGGAGTATCCCCTTCTCAGATCAAGAGGAACTCAATCGCTACTTTGGTGGTGTATGTGATGATCTGCCATCGAGTCGGTGTTGTGTCGAGTCTACGCATGCTAGGACATCTGGTCAGTGTCAAGATGGCCAAGAAGGAAGGGCAGTACTATCTCCAGAATTTGGGTGGCTCCAAACTCATCTCGAACGCTCCTAACTCACAAAGATTGGAAGGAGAAGTTCATGTGAGTTTCGGGGCCAATCCTATCCTACTTTATCTAACTTGGCCCAAGGTCAAGAAGAATGTGCTGAAGCCGGGCCTGCTTATGAATGAGGAGAAGCGGGGGCTCGACAAGATTCGAGCTTATACTAGGTCAATGGAGATCAGCAACCTCTTTGCGCTGGTTATCCTCCGAGTGGTCAGCCTATCTCATGTGCCGCCAACCGAGGAGGATAAAATCCAAGCTACAGTCCTAGCACTCCCACTCAAAGAGTAAGGTGAGGCACAACCAGGGTTGGAAATTAGGCCCTAAAAGTGCCTGAGGGATGAGATAGCTCCTGAGGAGGCTGAGGCGGTAGTAGCGAATGCTGTCGAAAGGGCTACTTGACTAGCCAGGCCGAGTGCTACCACCCAGGCCGAGAAGAAGAAGAGGAGAAGGCTAGGGAAAGTGAGTGGCTGAGGTCCTCACAGAAGTACCAAGCTGGCTCGAGTTAGGTTGGAAGGAGGAGTGGAAGCAATCGCTCCTACCTTAGTCCCGAAAGTCGGCCAGCATCCTCCAGCTCCAAGCGCTCCCCTCCCTGGGCTAACCAAGATTATCATTCTTAATGAAGCATCCCCCGCTCGACTTGTGGGGGGAAGAGGAAGTAGTCAAGCCTAGGGAGGCTGAGGTTCAAGCTAAAGAGGAGACGGCTTAAGCTCCCCTGCCTGAGTCGGTTCAGAGGCCAGGCAAGGCACAGACCAAGGAAGAGATCGCCCCACCTCCGCCAG